ATCGGTGGTACATTAATTTCATGGTCCATGCCAAAATTATGTATAATTTAAGAGACTTGTTTTTATAGTGGTTCTTATTGTAGCGCAGTGAACATGCACCATTCAAAAACCATTCACTTTTTCATGAATTCTCATAAGCCGTGCTTCTCCACTGAAGAGTGCTGTCGGTTCACTTTGTAAGTCCTGCTGGATGGTTTTTAGTGTGGGTGTGAGCGACCTGAGGTCAGCAGTCCATTAACAAGGGTGTGAGAGTATTTCAAAGTTATGTCTGAACTGTAACCCACAGCAACCTCAGTGAGCTTAATGAAGCACCACCTCAGCATTACTGTAGTGTTTGTACTGCTCCCAATTGGAAAAAGAAGGACTTGCATCATGCAGTGTACACTATGTGTAATATTGTTGTCTGTGTTTCCAGGCTAACTAGCATACACTAACGTTTCTGCTGAAACTCTAAAACATGTGCTATAAATATAAATATTTCATTTGTAGGTTCTTTTTCTGTCCTAGTCCTCAACACTTCTTCACAATAATAGAGCACACACATAACAGCATCTTTCCAGCATCAGTGTGATAGCAGTGCATTTTAGTTGAAATCCTTGAAGGTCACCCTTTTCTACTTTGTGGCGTTCTGTTTTTTTGTGTGTGTGTGTGTGTGTGCCACTTTTATAAATTCATACAGGGCAAGTTAATAATCAGTATTTAACAACTCTTAATTTGCTTTAATGTGGGGTGACTAATGATTCCAGCTTTTAAACACCCCAAAAGCAAATATATGTATATCACCGTGGCAAAATTAAGCTGGTCAGAGGTAGTTTTTGTGCAAATCAATTTGTGTTTTTATGTGTGGGTGTATTTGTGTTGGTGGTGGGAAAAGTCGTGCTAAATGTGGGGACGTTAAGTGCAGCTCTCGATGAATAATACATTTGTTTAATCGCCTGTTCTCACAGCAACAAAAATCAAGAGGAACACATAAAACTCTCCTTTGCACAGAGAAGGCTGATCCATTTAGGAGCATTCAAATGGGTCATATAAGGGGGGGGGGGATACTTACTGTTTTATCTGTGGGTTTGCTGCCACTTCTTTGGGATGGTTTTGAGGACTGTCTGAACTTCACTGGTCCCTTCACATCTCTTTGTAAAGGAGAGATAAAAGGAAAGAAGTAGATAGAAGTAAAGCTCCAGACAGGCATTATCCCCTGCCTCCCACTCTCTGCTGCTCTCTCTCTCTCTCTCTCTCTCTGTTATAATATACAGTATACTTCTTCACTCGCCCACCCATACTTTATTGGTTTATTACACAAACAGCCCCAGACAGCCTGCATTTCGCTCTCATGCATACATGCACCCTTCATTTTTACCCTTCTCTCGCTCTTACTCTTCCATGCAAACACACACAGTCACGGTTGCTTGCTCAGTGATGGATGCCGAACATAAGGACGGACAAGAGGAAAAGGGTTCACATATCAGGGTGTGTGGTCTGTTGATGGATGTGTGCAGCGAGAGTGGAGGGCATGTTGGTGTTTTTGTCTTTGAGCCCATGTGTGTGACTGTAAAGGACTGACTGACAGGGGACTCTGTTTCACTACCAAGGAATTTAGAAGACTCCTTCCTTTGACTGAGACGGTGCAGCTAGTGTCTGCCTCGTCTCTGTTCGCTACGGAGGAAATGACTGCTTTTCTCTGTTCTTCCTTTGCTTCTCTTGTAGCTCTGTTCTTTTACTTGATGAGCTGAGCTAAAGCCTGCATGGCTTCTCTTCTCCTCCTCCTATTTCCTTTTGTTTAATAGTGAGGTGTGTCCGGGGAAACGGGAATACCGGATTAAAGCTTCTGAACTGTCACAACATTGGGAGTGTTGGGGGAAGCGGCTGGCCATGTTGAGGCCAGCAAACCGCCGGGACTGCCGCAGTGTCCTGCTCTGCTTTGGCTGTTGGAATGGCCGGATGGTGGGCTTTTAGCACTTTGGCATGCTGCTTGCTCCCTGTCACCCATCACTAAAATCTTTAATTATGATGCCAGTTTTATGGCAATAAAAATGATGTGATCCATCTCTTCCGTCGTCCCCACTGCATAAATTTTATTGTGCTTGCATGTAGTGTTTTAAATTGAGATATAAGAAGAACTAGTCTCTTTAATGAACTTCACTGCATGCCAGCCTTAGTCACTATTAGTAGGAAATTAGACCGAAACTGCATAGCTGAGTGCTGACATTTATTTTTCTAAAGAAGCAATAACCTCAGATGTATCGACAATCTCTGAGGAGTTTATATCACATTTACCCTCATTTCATCAGCATCAACATTATAAAACCTTCAGATCAGGACGCCATTTCATTCGTTGAGAATGAGTGGAGTTAAGTTTGCATGGTTGTCATGCAGCTGGTGAGATACATAAAAATGCCAGTCTCTGGTCACAGGTTGGTCTCGTCATTGCTTCATTGCACTTTACTGCTTTTTCTGTTTGTACCAAATTAGCAACACTGTAAAAATAACATCTGTCATCCACACAAAATAGTAATTATATATTGTCAATCAAATGTAATAATCTGCATTAGCAACAAATGCAGAAAATAATAAATATATTTTAGATTGAAGGCTCTAGTGTTTAGAAAGCATTGAGGATGTCGCATTTCACTTAAAACTGGATTTTTAGTTGGGATACTATTATATTAGCAGTTTAAATCAGCTTTTGCAGTATTTATTTATTTTTGCATTTATGTATTTGTTTTTCTATTTTGATGTAAGATATCTGTGACACTTTTTGCCAAGACTTTATTAACCCATGTAGCTCTTAAGTGTAGTCATTGGCTTTCTTAATAAGAATTAATACATTTTCATGTTTTGTTAAAGTCATTATTACTCTAAGACATCCATCAGCAAATACCGTTGCTATGGCAGTTATCTCGATATTGATATTTGTGGCTCGGCATTGACACGCTGAAGCTTTGCTCTCTGTGGGTAGAAATTTAGAAAATCTTCTCTCTTTTTTCAAATTGTTATGTTTACATTTTGCTGGCTATCCAGTGACAGCCAGCCCGAAAGCAGAAGATTGTTTTAAAACAAACAGTTGCTTTGACTGTGGACTCTCAGTGCATTTGTGTGTGTAGTCTGTGTCATTACAGTGTGCAGTTCAATGAATGTTGCTGTGGTTAGTTAGGTGAAGGTGCTTTATTGTCACTGTTTTAAATTTAAATTCGTTCTGTGGTGTTTTTGTGTGGTGATAATGTGTGTCTTGTATGAAAAATACAAATGTTGTAAAAAGTTAATCACAACACTGTAGTAGAGGGGAGGAGTAAATTTGCTTGTTACTTGAATCTTATCTTTGTGTAGCTTTTGAAACAGAGAAGTTATATACTGCTTTGCACTAAATACATGCTTTAATATGTCATTTTTATTGTGTTTTGAGATTGTCTGTCCAGCTCGTTCTCACTAATGTTACATCTCGGAAACAATTCACCACGACTTTCGAAGTGCTTTTGGACATAATTCAAGAATTCATAAGTGAACAGCATGTTTTTACAGCAGCCATTTTAATAAGAAGTGATAGATAGACACACGTAAATCACTTAAATTAAAGCATTGTACCTAAACAGTACAAACCTTCAGTGATGTTTTAATCATCTCCTATTTCGTTTGAGAATGGCTGCTGGAAAAAGGTTCGTGACTAAAATTTAGACAAATATCTGCAAGAAATTCATTGACATTTGATAACTAAGAGGTCGTGTGCAGACAGATACAGATGTAAACTGCAGCTTGACTGCTTGCAGAAGGCATGCAACTGTGAAGCAATAACCGCGATGTTAATATCACAGCAAACTCTTTATTGAGTGATTGAGTTTTCTGTTGCTATGGTTTTAAACACTTAGATCATTACCTGGTTGCTGCTGTTTAATGTCTAATGTTTAATGTTAAGGTTTTCTCAGTCTCTCACTGTGGGATATTACAGCAGAGGAATTCACGTGGGCGCTCTGTCAAGATTGTCACCTGATTCCTCTTCAGTTTGCTCACTGTCGTTAGGAAATTTTTCTGCATGCCAATTAGCCAACGGAAATAGCTTGCAACAATGTCTTAATTTTGAAATCAAGTGGAAAATTGGACATAAAGCCATGACTAAACCTTAGGAAATCACCTGAGAGTCTTAAAACATATTACAACCATGGCAAAATAATGTTTCTGTTTATGCTGTGTAAGGAAACTTGCGCATTTAAATGAGAGGCTTTAATAATATGGGTTATGAAGTTGCTGTCTGTATGGATACTTTGACAACTGTGTGTGGCATGTACAGCTTTAGAGATTTTTGGCTGGGTATTAACACTTACTAAACGAAAATGTGTATATTACATATTTATATAAATCTCTTTTTACTTTGCTGACTCAGTAGTCCAGTAATCGTGAAGTCATCAGTTTGCCATTGCAGAACGGATGTCATCACTGCCACTCCCTAAATCCTGGTCATAAATCAATTTTGTCATTTCAAATGAAACGATACACTGCATGTTAGCACACACATCACAATAGTCACAAGAAACCCTTGTGAAGTTACTAAAGTAGCTTGACAGTTATTTCCACGGTTACTCAGCCACCAGGTATTGGGCCTAAAGGCTGGGTTTCTGCATATCTCTTCGTCAGCCTTGGCCAGTCTCTGCAGACTGTGAGGGAGTGTTTCTGTGTAGGTGTGGGTCCTGCTCGGGTCCAGCTCAGCATTAGTCAGGAACTGAGCTCCCTATGTCTAACTTTGATGATCACCAGGTTTTCTTATTACATTGCAGTTTGTTTAATGTTTTATGTGACTTTTTACTGATCTTTTGTTCCTTCCTCTTTGTCTCTTCACCTTTTTGTTTCGTGTCTCTCTTGCTGTCCTCCCACATTCCCACGCACCTGCAGGCTGAGTCCGGTTACGGTTCAGAGACGAGTCTGAGGCGTCATGGTTCCATGTTGTCTCTCACCTCAGCAGCTAGTGCCTTGTCTTCCACATCTACATCCTCCTTCAAGGTAAATCATAGTCATCAGTGACTGAGTTGAAAGATGTGATTAAGCGAGACATTTTTTCTTTTTCTTTCCTTTTATATTTTTTTTCTGTTTGCACCTCTTTGTCCTCTCTCTCTCTCTCTCTCTCTCTCCCCCCCTTGCTCAGAAGGGGCACAGGTTGCGTGAGAAACTTGCAGAAATGGAAACTTTCCGAGACATCCTGTGCAGACAAGTGGACACCCTGCAGAAGTACTTTGATTCCTGTGCCGATGCCGTTTCCAAAGATGAATTTCAGAGGGACAGAGGTATACCGGTTGTTGAGCTTGCATAGCATCAGATTTACTTCAAAAATAGATGTACATTTGTTTTGAGTTGCCTCTGTTTGTAAAACAGTGATCTCTGAAGCAGTGTGGGGGAGTTGGCTTTGTTTACTGGCAAAGCAAAGCAGAACATTAACAGAGATCTTTTTTTTTTTTATCTGTTTCATGCAGTATGAGAGTAGGTAATGCTCATTGAGAAAGGATTCAGAAATCAATAACTTAACAAGACATTATGTGGATTTAAATTTGCTGTCAGGTTTTTTTATTTGTACTTTATTTATTGAATTTGTATTACAATGCAGACACAACCCTAATTGTTTATTTGCACGAAGATATTTAATGTGTTAGCTACAATTATGTGGACGTGTATTATTCAAGGGCATGAAAAGGTTTCAAAATATTAAGTTACACACTAATAACTATGCACGGCAGGGAGATGAAGCTATGACTGCTTGTTGTTTTCTAACTAGTAGAGGATGATGACGATGACTTTCCCACTTCTGCGAGACCTGACAGCGAATATAATCACAACAATAATGGCAGCAAAGAGAAATGTGAGTCTATCTGTAAATACTCTTTGACTCTCCATTGCATTACTTGGCTTGATTATAACAAATTCAGTGTAAGTGTGAACACCATTGTTTATTTTTGTTCTTGCTTTCTCTCTTCCTCTCTGTGCCAGTGTTTTCTCCTGCCAGTCCTAAAGGTATTAATGGGATAGACTTTAAGGGTGAAGCCATCACTTTCAAAGCCACCACAGCAGGCATCCTCTCCACTTTGTCCCACTGCATCGAGCTGATGGTGAAACGAGAAGACAGCTGGCAGAAAAGACTGGACAAGGTACGGCTTTGGACTAAGAGTAAAGTTTCCCCAATGGGCATGTCTGCAGCCACCGCTGTGGGTACTGCTGCTGACTGAGGAGCTGAGTGTTGCTTCCGTTTCCCTTAAAGAGCTCGATGTTATCATTTGGGCTCTGTCTCTGAGGTTGTGATGCAACACTCAGTTGTCTAGACTTGATAGTTACAGTATTGCAACATTTATAATTAAAAAGGTACAGTTTTTGTTTTGGAAAGGTTACAAGGTGATTCTGTATTAAATATATAGCTTTGACTAAATAGTGTAGACTTGACTCTTTAGGAGTTATTAGTTTAGATGTGCTTATCTTTCACTCTTTATTTTTCTTCAGTCTGTGTGCATCTTCTATTAAGTGGTTCATTATTCTGGGATTCTGCTCTTGCACTTTATATTCTATGGGAAATATTAAGGTCTCTTAATGAAATAAACTGCTTGCAAGATGCTTTGCAGTTCAATTCTTCATCCAAGCACCTGCTGTAAATGCAAAGCAAATCTCATTCATTCCGAAAGGAGACTGGAGACTATGCTCAGGCAGCAAGAACAATCATTTCAGCCGTCCTTATAACCCAACTAACCACTGAAAGGTTTAATGTAAACTTGCTACCAAGCATCATTGGCAAATATGGGTTGGTAAATGCATGGATAAGTCAGACTTCCTATAACGCACTCATATTCATTAATATTCAGTGAGTGGCCTGTGTCTTTAAAGAAATGCTCTTCAGAGCTCATCATATAATCCGACCTCGTCAAACCAGTTCTTTTCCCTGTGTAAGGTAGGTGTGCTTCTGCCCAGCCCTCAAAGCCGGGAAGCCTTTTACAGTTAGAATACCTGAGTGACACTACCTCAAAGTTATCAGTGTTTTGATGTATATTAGCATACACTCAGAGGACCTCACACTTGAAGTTTACATTAGAAGATGAGTATTCGGACTTCAAGGCAAAGTTTGCCAAAGCGAACGTTACAAAGGAGGACGACAGAGCTGCTCAAACACCAGACACAAAAATGGATACCTCTGCAGACCCACGGCCATTTCTTTACAGTAGGTCTCTGTATGTCAGGGTCCTGGTTGTACACAACTTAGTGCAGTATCACATTCTGGTTATTTTGTGTTTTCTGGAATATATCTACCCCTCTCTTTGCACTTTGTTCAGTTTCTTTGACTTTGTCTTATTTTTCTGCATTTAATAGTATCTCTTTAGTGCTTAATTGTTTTGTGTTATAGATGAGCCTGTTTGATTCAGCTTACCTGTTGTTGTTTTTTTGTAATTGCTGTATGTCAAAACCTGGTCTTAATGATCTTTTTTCCTGCAGTTAAAGTTGTTAGACTGTATTTTTGTTCATTTTCTTTTGCAGACAGGCAATTTATTACATTCCTGTCATTTTAAGTGATAGATTTTATTATAACAGTGACACTGGAATATAGTCCAACTTCTTTAGTTCTCTATTCAAGCAATCATTGAGATTATTTGTGTGAAATGACAGTTTTTGTCCCTGACAAATAACATTATAGACACACAGTTAACATATTTAAAACTTGTTTAACACATGGCTGAATAACGGGGTCGTTTACTTCACTTTTATGGGTTTTTTTTCCTTTTTTTTTTTTATTTTTTTAAATCACCTGTCATGTTGTTAATTTAAGCATAGTGTTTGGTGTGACAGGAAATGTTTCCACACAAACTCCTGACAATGTTATGAGAATGAGGCTGGGACATTGTCTGAAGTGAGACATAACACACAACAGGAAACAGTGTATTTCTGTCCCCACACTATTGAAAAAAAAAACTCTGTTTGGTTTTGGGGAGGAAGTTGCCTGTATAAAAACGACACAGGAGACCTATCTCTTGCGGTGAATTAAACAGGCAATTCATGTGCTTGGCTGGAAATCACACCTTTTTTTAGCAGGTTAAAAACTGTTTAAAGTAGAATCGGACTGCAGTGGACGGTTGTGTTGTCACATGCCCTTCTGCTGGATGACGTCAAGAAAAGGCTAGGGCTACAGTGCTGGTTCAATGGGTTTCTGTGTTTACACGCTCTACGTTTTTATTCAAAGTTTCAATACAGCTGAACTAACCATAACAGCATCCTCTGTGTGTGTGTGTTTGTGCAGGAGCTGGAAAAGAGGAGGAAAGTAGAAGATGCCTACAAGTCTGCTGTGAATGAACTAAAGAAAAAGTCACACTATGGAGGCCCAGACTACGAGGTACAATGAAATCAGATAAGCTGAAGGGTTTAAATAAAAACTAGATGACGACAGTAGGAAGATTTCCTGATGTTGCACATCCCTGTTGTTTTTAATCTTGGGTGAGGCTTTTCTCACAGGAATCACAAATTCTGACATTGTGTGCTTGTTATTGTTTGTTCACAGGAGGGGCCCAACAGTCTGATCAATGAAGAGGAGTTCTTTGATGCAGTGGAAGCTGCACTGGACAGACAAGACAAGATAGAGGAGCAGGTGTGATGAAGACCTAAATGGGCCTCGCAAAGTCAGGACATGTTTTAAAAACATGAATCTCCAATAAATTAATCTATAAACAAGTGTCTATTTCTGTTTACTGTTTCCCTCAGTGCCAGTCAGAGAAGGTCAGAAAACCTCGACTAACTCTGGCTTCCCCTAGTGATGCCTACTCCACCATCGGTACACACAGATTTGCCAACAAGGTGCGCAGCATATTTTTATTGTCACTATACCTTTCGCCCTATTCCTATCCCACTGTGTTGAAATTTAAGGCTACAAGTTGCTGCTCTTTTCTTTGCCTAATGATTCCTGTAAAAATCAAAGGCAGCTTACAGCCGGTGTGAGCTGCCTACTTGGTGCTGACTCCTGAAAAATTACTCATGATGTGGCCATGTGTCATCTTAAGTGTTTATCGTCTTAACTGTTTGGCAATCATTTGGTGCTCACTGCAGTGTTTTTCAAGAGCTAACATGATGGCTTCATATGAAATCCTACTTTAGCAGGTTGTGGTTGTTCTCCTCTGCTCTGCTGCCGTGGTGTCTTTTTCAGTTTTTGTTGTTTATTCCTTTCTTTTTCAACCCTCTCTCCGCTGTACAGCCCTATAGCCACTCTTCTTCCTTGTCCTCGATCGAGCTAATCAGTGCTTCAGATGACATTCACAGATTCAGCCCTCAGGTACTGTGCTTGGTCAGCTAAGAGCAGCCTGCTGCTTTCCATGACAATCAGAGAGAGCATGAGCAAACGGCATGTCTACTAACCACTCGCTCCAGGTTTTCACTAATATTTTGCTCTACATTGACCCATGAGAGGGGGGGGGGAAACCTACCTAGTCAGAGTTGAAATTTCCAGAGAGAGCAGGTTGAGTTGTCCTTACCACAAAGTAGGTCTTCTGTGCATGTTAGGAATTTGGTTCATTTCCACCTCCTCCTTTCTTCACTGCACGCTTCTCCTTCCACAGCATGAACAGACATGAATCCAGGCTAGCTTTGCACTATATTTTTAACTCATTGTTGAGATGTTAAATAACACCCCAAGCAGTATCAAGTGCCTAATATTTATTTGGCTACTGCTTTGTGGATAATGTATTTGCTTAAGACATTCCTGTGATTCTGACACACCAGTAGTTTTCCTCATGCCTCCTATGTTGTTAAACAATAGCAGCACAGGGGGAAGGTGTGTTGATTGGTCAGGGCTGTAAATCATTACACCTGAGCATAGGAACCTCAGGTTCCTCTCTAACTGTGCCTTGTTGGTAAAAACAGGAGAAGACTGCCTAACATATCATTAAATCAATATCTGACTCTTAGGTGGAGGAAACTGTGCAGAATCACATGGCTTACTCCATCCAGGAGGTGGGGGGCGATGCCAACTGGCAACTGGTGGTAGAAGAAGGAGAGATGAAGGTGAGGAGAGAGAATGCTGTGAATATTTAAATGTCATTGATGTTTTAAAAGGTACTACTGTGATTTAAAACTTTTAAAAGCCTGAAAAAAAAAATCATCTTAGTTTTTAGTAACGGGTGAAGTTGTTAGTGTGTTTATAATATTCTGTCTGTGGTGCTGTGTAACAGGTATACAGGAGGGAAGTGGAGGAGAACGGCATCGTCCTGGATCCCCTCAAAGCAACACATGCTGTGAAGGGGGTAACTGGACATGAGGTCTGCCACTACTTCTGGGACACTGCAGTCCGATTGGACTGGGAGAGTAAGATCTGTGTTTTAGTCCAACATATTATTACTATTTGACTTTCCTTGTGTTATTGCCATGACCTGATGTGAACTCTCCCTCCCACAGCCACCATTGAAAATTTCCACGTTGTGGAAAAGCTCTCTGATAATGCCATCATTGTGTACCAGACACACAAGGTATACTGAGTGCATGGTGCCTTTTCATCAGTAGCATTAAACGACCTGTTTTTCATTGATTTGCCTGCTGAATTTTGTCTTTCATGTTTTAGAGAGTGTGGCCTGCCTCTCAGAGAGATGTGCTGTATCTGTCAGCCATCAGGATGATTCCACCAAGAAATGAAAACGACCCCGACACATGGCTGGTCTGCAACTTCTCTGTGGACCACGATGACGCCCTTGTAAGATTAACCCTCTGAGGCTTACATTGTGTTGTTTTCCATCATGTGTTCATATAACCGCCCAACTCTCTGATACCATTCAGCGACTGAGTGGTGTTAAACATGCTGTTGTTCCTACACTCTGACACAGTGAGTGATTACGTATCAGGCTCATTGAAATCTTGGTATGCTTCTGAATGATGAAACAGTCCAAATATAACACTAAGTTAGCAGTGCCAAGAGAAGTGACGACTTTGTGAGACAGTCTCACAGTTACTGCCTCAATTCTGCTGCTATAAACACACAAGTAAGTTTCCAGGATAAATTTCCAACTCGGGGAGCCATTTGCTGTCATAAACACGCTCTTTCCTGGCAAACGTTGAGATGCTTAATCTGTCTGTGCCTGCCTGCAAAACACTGGAGTACAGTATCTACAGCATTATATACTGTGGTTAGTTTTCAATGATAAGAAACTTCCACCTACAAACAGAAAGCAAATTGGGATAATAGATTTTCACTGTTAGATTCTGAAATCAACACTTTGTGTCCCCCTATCAAATCAGCCTTAATGAGTCTCTTCTGCATATATTATGTTAGTATGCACACTAATGTAAATAGCAAGTAGATTGTTGTCAGAGAGTAATTAGGTCTGGATTTGAGGTTTAATGCATTAACTGTGTTTTTGTCAGACAAAGACTGTTTTGAGCTTGTTTATATTTATTTACATCAAAGTACTGTGTTTAGTTCATTAAAGCATTTACAAACATCGTGATTTTTTTAAACAAGACTTTTTTGGGGCGAAACGGAAGAACAGCATTAATCTTACTCACCCTGTCAGTTCATCTACAGTAAGAGTTGTGTTAGCTTGGGGGTTGTTTGCATTTTGTTTTTGATTATTATTATTATTGTTGTATTTATTTGTCTATTTTAACTTTCAGCCCACAAACCGGTGTGTTCGTGCCAAAATCAATGTTGCCATGATCTGCCAAACGCTGGTCAGCCCACCAGAGGGTGACAAAGAAATAAGCAGAGACAACATCATGTGTAAGATCAACTATATTGCCAATGGTAAGTACCTCTGAAGATCATCTAGTTTTGATCTTAGCATATGTGCCTGAGGCAAGATCAACGGCCAGCAAAACAAAACCTGTGTAGCAACAACAATTCTGCTGCAATGCAACCTACTGTAAATGCCAGAGGCTCCAACCAAACCTCAAATCAGTTTTTCAGTTTTACTCAGTCTGCAGAATGTCCCTACACATACAGTGGTGGGAAATGATTATTGTATTATTATATTATTATTATTGTAAATGTGCGTTCTTGAGCAGGAGGGTTTCTAGTGCTGTGAGATTTCAGTCCATTGCAGTGTAGTGTGTTGCTGATGCTGACTGTGGTCCCAGATGCCTTCAGATCACTAATAAGCTCCTTCAGTTTAGTTTTGGGCTGATCCATCACCTTTCGCGTGATCCTCTTCACATCATGAGGCATAATCTTGGAGCTCCAACCTGAGGATGACTGTTGGTGCGATTATTTAGAAATTGAGAAATGTATAACCATCAGTGACTGAGCTTCTTGCTGATGGTCTTGTAGACAATTCCAGCCTGTCTGCAGGTCTAAGATCTGGTCCTTGATACCCTCTAGCCGCTCTTTGGTCTCACTCATGGTAATGGAGAGGTTGGAATGGATTTTGTGGACAGGTGTGCTTTATACACCGCTGCTTTCCGTAAATGACTCACTGACTGGTTATCAGTGTGGGAGACAGAAATCTGTCTGGATTGTAGAGCATCAAATACTTACGAGTCAATGACGTGCAAAATGATCTATAACATTTATGTAACATGTTTTTCTAGATTTTTTGCTCGATATTTTGTCTCTCTCCTTCAAAATGAAACTACCATAAAAGTTAGAAATTGTTTGTTTCTTTGTAAGTAGTCAAACTCAAGTTCATTATTGCCCCACTTAATATGAAAAAACACTGGGCAATAAATGAGAAAAGCACACATCAAATGTTTGAGCTGGCACATATACATATATCAGCTGGGTTGATCCTCGGATTCAGTTTAAATGGTTCAGACAAAGAAATTTACAAGATTTACATATACAGACAACAAAAGGCCTTAAAAGAAAAATTATGTATCGAGTAGTTTCAGTGTATCTGGATCCAAAGTGACAATCTTCAGCTTGGTAACATCTTGTGTCACAAGTTAAAAATGAATATACACCTTAATCCTCATTTGAAACAATCTGATGTCAGCATTTTTAAACTTTGTACAGCTGCTCTGAAACATGGATCACACAGTCTGGGTTTCTTTGAAATTTCAATCCAGGCTGCATCTTCTCTAAGAGGTTGTTACATAAAGGATCGCTGCAGGGTGAATCTTGAGCCAGTTTATTGCTGGGGATGCTGAGCAGTTCAAAGGATGTTCATTTAATAAATCTTACATTTCCTTCTCCCACTAGAGGGCACCTCTAAACAGTTACAGCTCTCTGTGCACTGAATCACTGAGTTATTGTTAATTGTTTTATCATAAGTCAGCAGGAACACATTGGTTTTTGTTTTCATCTTTGTCTTTGTTCCCCCCTCCTCACTGCCGTGTGGCTGCAGTAAACCCTGGAGGCTGGGCTCCAGCATCAGTACTCAGAGCCGTGGCCAAGAGAGAATATCCCAAGTTCCTCAAACGCTTCACCTCCTACGTCCAGGAGAAAACTGCTGGGAAGCCTATCCTTTTCTAAATTTAAACAGGTAACCACAGAAACACACTGTTATTAGCAGCGGGATCTTCTATACTTAGTTGTATTTGTATTCTTTTGTTTTGTATCCTGACTTTATTACACTGTTTGACATATCTCCTGGTTGATGTCGTATCTGTTATTTCGAATCAGCCAGCAGATCCATAGACTGACTTCAATTTATTCTTTGTAGTCTTTTAATCCTGCTCATTTCAGCTTTCAGAGGTGCCAAGTTCACCTGCTGGGGAGACTGCGTTGTTGAAGTGACTGTTGAAGATCACATGACCATTCACGTGTCACCGCACCATCAGGACGTGCTGCTTGAAGATGAGACTGCTTTTGGCCCTAATGGATCAGTAGTTATCATCTTAGATTGTAACCTGTTGGTCATGGGTTCGTTTGTACGTAAGCTGAAACATTTCCTAAACAGTCTTCAAATTGTTACCGATAATTTGCTTTTTGTTTTTTATTTGTTTTTTGTTTGTTTGTTTGTTTGTTTGTTTTTTGTAAATTGTTTTGTACATTTGCTATGATTAAACTTTTCTTGAACTTTTGGGGGGTTTGCTCTAATCACTAGTATTACAGCTACTTGTTTTGCTGCTGCTAAAGTAACTACCATGAAAGAGGAAAGAGAACAGATACTTACAGTGAAAGCACAGATGAGGTGTGGTACACTATTTCCTCTTTCTTGCCTTTTGCTGATCCTCTTGTGACGACTCTTTGTAGTTTGATGGGGGGTCAGAGCCTAAAGCTTTGAAGTCTTTACATTTCTAGATTGTTATAAAGTAGCTTTCAGAGAACACCGTGGACACAATGTATTGTACAGATAAAACAGTAAGATTTCAAATAGATTATCAATTGTGAGAAATGTGAATTGACTCTTAAATGCTTGAATTTGATGACAGAAATGGGCAGATTAGATACAACAAGAGTGATGAGGAGCACTTACTAAGTCTAATTGACTTGTGTTGGACAATATTTTCAACTATCCAGATGATGTCGTTAGTTAGATGCTAAGTTGCGGTATTTGCATGTATTTGTCAGTCAGCATGCTGTTGCTGACAGATATTTGCAAAGGACCGGCCCTAGTGTCTGGTTTGAAGATTCCTCTCTTTCTTTGAGAGCTGAATGAATACATTTTGTACCCTCTAGGTTTTCTCATCTCTATTTTCAGACCCTGGTGAGGCAGGGAAAAGAAAATCTTTCTGTTCACTCAAGAGTGTCAGATTTATAAATTACTCCTGCTGCTTTTAAGCGGAATTGTTATTAAATGTTAACTTGGATTATCATTTTATAATGTGTTCCTTATGTTCTCAGTCAGATGCTGATTTTACATTTCAGATGCCACACTACCGTGCAGTGGTTTCCTGCACTTTGACTGATAAACTACCCCCAGTATGCCTTAGATGCCAGGATTTCTGGCTTTCTTTACTGTTCAGCCACCAGACGTGCATTTATCAACACTGAAATCAAACTGGATGGGGTTGGGAGGGGGAGGGTCAGCATTTCACATCATCTTACCTCAAGGTTTCAATTTAGACTGTGTTCAATGCCATCAATAGTTGGGAGTTTAGCATTCAGTAGATCTGCATGGTTTGAAAAAAGAGATTTGAGGTTAGGAGGGATCTGGATAATTGTTTTGCCGATAATGATAAGACCTAAATCTATGAGCGGTGTCAGCTGAAGAATGCATTTAGTCTTTTTAATTTTGATATTTTTGTCAGTAATCTACACACTTTGTATATTTCTAAGTTGTACATCAGAAGTGTTATTTGCACTAAATGTATTGCAATTTGACAATGTTCTGTAAATTAAAATTAATATACAAAAAACTGTAAGTGTTTTTGGTGTTTTAAGGTTTTGTTTTTTTAAGTTATTACAAACACAGACCTGGAGTCAGAAAAATTGCACTTTATTGTGTCACGAAAGATCTTGAACTTGATTAAAAGCATTGCCATCAGTGTAGGTGTTCCACAGGGATCCATTCTTGGACCTATTTTATTAACATTTTAAGTGTGTGTCTGTGTATAATCTATATCTCTGTGTATATAATATGTTTGTGTTTTTACTGTCAGCTGCATTGTATCACATCTGTGTAATTTATGTAGAGCGTTTACATTTTCACACCACCTTCCAATGTCAGGTTTACCAAAGTAGTCCTAAATTGAGTTTTGCTTGTTACAAAAAAAATTTTGTTTCTACAATGGTTATTCCACCAGAATATGCTTGAATATTGTTACTGCATTCCTTAACAACACTAATTTTAGTGGTTGTATGTGATACTTGATTAATTTCTGACTTCTCAGAGA